TTCTATTTATAACTTTCTTCAGAACGAACATCATTAGATTGGCAAAAAGATTTCATTGAAAGGGATATGTACTGACATATGTAACCTCAGATTGTGATGTAATACGAATCGACTGAACGTTGATCTTGTGTGCAGCTAATTCCTAGATACACAGGTGATTCCGTATTCAGCTAAGGGGCAACGTGTGTGACTAGCTACTAACTGGCACATACTTAGGATTTTGTCATACTAGCGGTGGACCAACATTGGATTATGCTTAAGATTACACTAAAGATGACACTTACGACTCACTTTGGAATTAACTTCGGACCCACATTGGACCATACTTGGACCGACATTAACTTCGGACCCACATTGGAATAAATCAAAGACTACGGCGGACTAAACGTTGGATTGCCTTTGGACCTAATTAAATGAGAAAATTAGCAATGTAAAAATAGGCGAAGAAAAGGAAAAAACAAAAATATAAAGTATATTTTTTAAAGTTGAGTAAAAATATATTAGCCTTTATCGGGGTCTGAAGTTGAACTTCAACTACCCAGTGGAAAATGAAATTGATTAAAAAAATATTACTTTTTACAGAAAAAAAATATTTAAAGGGAGGTTACAGTTATTTTGTCTTTGGGTGGTCAAAGTTAGATGAAAACGTTAGAAATAGCGAAATTTGCACAAGATCGTATCGGAATTTGGACACATTTCAAGCGGCAACGGTTAGTCATGAACATAAATAGACTGGGGAATGACGACGATGATAATGATAGCAGAAAAGAATGGAGCTCAATTATAGATCTAACACAACAATTTTTATAAAGAAGAACAAACCCAGAGAAAAGTTGATTGATTCTCCGTAGTTGTCGGAACAGAAGAAGCTACGGGCTACTTATAATTTTGCTCAGGAGCTTTTGGCATGTATGCCTAAATATCTCATTAGAAAGGAATTTATTACAACATATTAAGGGAATGTCTGGTAGTTCATTAGTATGATGTATTCTTATATAATCACGTGTAGAAGAATGGAGAAGCTCGAATTAAAGAGAAATGCAATCGTCTACTATTCTATTAATTTATATTTCGTATTCTTCCTGTTCTTTTGGTGTCAATATTATTTTAAATTGTTTTCCGAAAAGCCATCCTACATCGTAAAATCTTAAAAAAAAAGCCGAAAGCTTGTAGATTTGAGAGCCAGCTAGAATTTAAAAGGTCACATTAAGCCAGCTATTATATCTTGTACACATTTCGGTGATACATATACTCATTATATATAAACACATTTGGATAGTCAGTGATCCATGGAAAAGATAAGGCAACCTCAGTATAGAAAGTGTAGGCAAGAGTAAGAAGAGAAGGAGGAGGGGGAATAGCAAATTAAAAGTAGTCCCGATTACCAAACCAAAAGAATCGTAAAAGCACAGAAATTGAAGTGTTTGGTTCACAAAACATACTCAAATAATTTCTTCTTCTTTATGTACCGTCTTCTACCGAAGGTTGGCGACCATCATACGATAGGTTTCTCTGTTTTGTGCCGCATGAATTATGTTCGCAGCTTCTGGTATTTGAAACCATTCTCTCAAGTTTCTCAGCCAGGATTTCTTCTTTCTGCCCAAACCTCTTCTACCTTCAATCTTGCCTTCCACGATAAGCTGTAGCAGACTGTACTTATCATTACGGAACACATGGCCCAGGTATGACGCTTTCCTCCTTTTAACAGTTGTTAACAATTCCACCTCTTTACCCATTCGTCTTAATACCTCTGTGTTGGTCACTCTGTCTGTCCAAGGTATTCTCAGTATGCGTCGATACAGCCACATTTCTAGAGCCGCTAACTTCTTTATAGTTGCTGCTGTTAACGTCCACCCTTCTACGCCGTAAAGTAGCGTAGAGAGTACGTAGCATTTCGTGGCGCGCCATCGGAGGTTAATGCTTAGGTTGCGGTTGCTTAAGAGCTTTCTCATTTTGATGAATTTGGATCTTGCTATTTCAATTCGGATCTTAATCTCTACTTCTGGGTCCCACTTGTCATTTACTGTATATCCCAGATATTTAAATCGGTGTACTCTTTCAATACGTTCGTCTTCAATATGCAGGTCGATATGTTGAAATTTTTTTTTACTGATCACCATAAATTTAGTTTTCTTTCTATTGATCTTCAGTCCAATTCGGCTGCCAGTTGTATTAACTCTATGTAGCATCATCTGTAAATCTTCGATGTTATCGGCCAGTATAATAGTATCATCTGCATATCGAAAATTACTTATTGGTACGCCATTAATCTTAATGCCCTCATTGTACTCTTCTAGTGCCTCTAGAAATATTTGTTCCGTGTACAGGTTGAAAAGCAGTGGCGAAAGAATACAGCCCTGTCTTACCCCTCTAGAAATGGTTATGTTTTCACTATTCATATGTCCATTCTTCATGTGGGCTGTTTGATTCCAATATAGATTTTTTATAATCTGGATGTCCTTAGTGTCAAGTCCTGAAAGACGTAATAGTTCTATGAGTTTGTCATGAAAAATAATTTCAAATATCATAATCCGCGAATCAAAGAATGAAAACAAATAGTAATGGGTAATATTTAGGTAATTCCTTAAAACAAAATGATGACAAACTTATTGAACCATAACCCAATTACAATACGAGTATCTAAAATGAAAAAATAAATATAATTGATTTTTTAAAATGTTACATTTTTTTTTAATCTTTAAATTTGCAGATTTATTTCGTATATTTTTATAAGAACCAGACCTAGAGCACTAACGAATTCCAATAACCTAGTTTGTGTTAAAAAACAAATATCCCATAATTCACGCCTAGTTATGAAAAAAATTAAGTAGTTCATGTCTGTCTTCCAACATCCTGCATTTCGCGCGTTTTTATATAGATCTTTACAATTTATTGACTCATTTAACACACATATAGAAGCAATTTGTCTCTTTATGGCGTGCCATTTTAAATATTTTATCGTTTTTTATACTTACCAATATTTGACGAGATTAATCACGCTATATCGTCACATATGTTATTTTTTCGAGAATAAACATTAAAATTGATGTCAAACTCGGCATTTACTAGAGTAATTCAACAATCATATATTTTTAGATACTTTATTACGTATAAAATAATAAAAAATGAAAAAATAAATATTAAAACAGATATGGCAATTAAAATTCAAGATAACATTAATATTTATCAATTAAACCTATTTTTTATAATTTTATAACTTTTTTATTATTATATTTATTAACTTGAGAACGACTGGATCGATTTGACTAATTTTTATTTTGAAATATTTATAGAATTTCAAGGAAGGTTTAAAAGGCAGGAAATATGATGAAATGGTAAGGAGAAAAGTAAAAGCAACTTACTTTACTTGCTTACTTTTTTGTGTCCATGTGTGATAATCGCAAGTGTTCAGCCTAGAATCGGGTACAGTTTAATGCATTGGTGTTGGCCTTCAACAGGTCGTCCATCGTGCATGGAGTATTGGTTGAACTGGAGCAGGTGGTCCATGTTCTGTCGTTGGCTGTACGTACATAAGCTGTCATTTTCATCGAGCTGGCTTCATCTTGCTCTGTTGGTCTTACTTGGTTCAGTATTGTCCACGTCCTCCAGTTGGTGTGGTTCGTTTCGGGGAATACCAGTCTGGAAGTTCCACGGTAACGCCACTGGGAAAACCTTTCCTGAATTTCAGCCGCAGGTCGTCGTATGAGTGTTCTTCTGCACCGAACATCACATGTCTGTCTGTCAAGCGCTCGATGTACTCCGTGGTTCCTCTTCGCATGTCCAGTTGGTCGATTTCCGTACACAAGTAAAAGCAACAAATTTATTTTCACATACAGTTATATATACTCCTTTGGATTAACGTCATTAAAACCGTGGCTTTCTTCACGTCTATTTTATTTTACTTTTCACGCGAATGACTGGAGTTTGTCTTCCCGCCGATTGGCTTTTTTTAATCCGTTAATGAAATATAATAATAATAAAAATGATTTAATTAAAAATAAATAGAAGATAATATTGAAAAGGTAAATGATGAATAAATTCTATAGGTATTATATTTAACAAATTTTGAAAATTACTAAAATCGTTAAAGTGGTCTCTCTCTCTCTCTAGTGGTCAGTATGCTTACCGGCTACTGAGACTCAGATAGCACCTTCATCTGCTTGGATTTGCGAATAGTCCAAGGATTAGACGTTCAGAACGACAGGAAGGGCTCAGAGTTGGAGCCCCTGCTGATTACTGCAGATACGGGAGCCCAGAATAGCCTGTGCCTCAGAAACGCCGAAGAATAATCCCTTATGGGCTTGTTCCGTATGATAGGGTTGATAGAATTGACCCGTCTTAGGAGGTCTAGGTGTCTGAAGGGCTCATAAATGAGTTCTGCCCAAAGCTACCAAAACACCTAAAAAAATCGTTAAACAAAATAAGATTTTTTAAATTCTGTAAAACCTAAATGTGTGGTGTTATTATAAAAATATTAATGAATTATATAACCATTCACTTCTGACGCATATTGTGTTGACTCTGAAATGGAAAATTTAGTTAAAGGAGAATGTTTTTCTGTATCTGACCTGAGTTTGTCTTTGTCCTATCACTGTCTAATGAGCCTCAAAACAGGGCCAAATATGGCATAGCATGATTGGAGTACAATTTTTTAAAGATAAATAACCGCACATTCAAGCTTTCTAGTGGTATAGACCAACTACAGCAGTTTGTTTCTGAACGATAGATAATATCTAGAAATACTTTATTCAAACACATTGTTAGTTTCTCTAGAGTTCCTTGCAATTGTATTGAATTTCGTAATACACACGAATATTGATACATACGTTTTTTAATATATAGAATTTATTTAAATATTATCTGTTTTCAGTTTTTTAAAGTTTTGTTTCTTCCATTAGAGGAAAAGATATCATATTTTCTTTTTATCTAATTCAACAAATGAATTTTTATATGGTTTATATGTATTTAAATGATCTCTAATCATATTTTCTTTATTTCAGTGGGCGGCATGTCGCGGCCACCCAAGCCAGCGGCAACCGCAAAGAAAGTAGCCCCTCCCGCTGTACCCCATGAGTTTCGACATTCTGGAAGCTCCTTCGGATCCGCGGGGTACGCCAGCTCAGAGGACACCGGACTGTTGGCTTCCTCCGATGCACCTGGAATTCCTAGAGGTATTGTTCTACTTTAAATTCATCATGACTTGCATTGTATCTTTGATACAATTATGAGCACCATTAGTAATGGGCTGTAAAATTTATTTTGATTTATTGTATTACATGTATGGTTATATATCATAAGTTGTCAATACATATATTTGTAAATGTTTACTTACTATACCAAATTATAGAATAATTACATTACATTAAAATATCGGCGAATACTTTTTTCTAAGTGTTGACCAGATAAGTTTTTGTAATTTTTGAGAACCGCTTTTCAACTTAATACTTTCGTTTTTACATAGTATTGTGTTTGTACAACATTTTTGTATATTGAATAACTTGGAGATACATTTTTTTAGCACATAAGATCAGAGTTTAGGACCGCACATTCTGTTAATTAGATTGACATAATGTATCATTTCATTTTTATACTGTAAAGTGTAGAAGAAAGTATGGATAGTCGCTAACAATGTAGTAGTTTTTATGGAAAACTCTCATATACGCGAATTTAGTTTTTCAGTTTCTTACGTAACCGACATATTCGTCCCTACCATTTCGAACTATCGAATGTGAAAAATCAGGTTTTTCAGATTCGATACCTTGTCCTCGCATTAGACGTGATACACCTTGTAGCAAAATATCGAAATTGTAGCTTGATAAGGAACGCGGGAAAATTTTGTTTAAACCAGCGAATATAAACATTTTGTTATTTTGTTTTGGTCAAAATATCGAATATACTGCAAACTGACGAAAATGAAATATTCGACACTTGTCTTGTGTTTTGTATAAATATAACTATAAACATATTTGTACAACGCAAAATGACGAGTGTGTCACATTCATTAGTTTCAGTGTTGTAATTGATACAGTTATTCAATTATAATCTGCAAACTGTCGAAAAGACTAAACATTGTTGACAAGAACAAAACGCATGTGTTCACAATTGTGTGAATTATTGCTTCCAAGAATGAAAATAAATTTTTATGAAGACTAGAATTGATGGAAACTTTTTATCTCTTAAAACCAAACAAAATAGTATAAACTTGTATGTGACCAAAATTATTACCTAGGCGATACCACCAATATTACCAATCTTTGCCAACATCTAGTACTGCCAGAGATTGTCTTTTAGAACCTGACGCAACTGAAGACAACAATAACGTTTAATTCAACATTTAAAACTTTTAATTTGCCATTATTTTACAACAACTGAGAGTCATGACTGAATACTTGAGGCATCTACAGTATGTGAAGTTCCATAATTAATTTTTTTTAGGTTTCTAATTACATTAATTTTCTAGCAATACATACTTTCATAAAAATACTTTTAACAATTTTTTAAACATAATTTTCCCATTTTATCCTACAACTTTAATTTTTAACTAAATCAATTGTAATAAACTTTGTAAGAACAATAAAATTATTTTCAGTTTCCTCCTTTTCAATTAAGAATATAAATGTGTTAACATTAGACCAATATGAACTGTCGAAAATGCCACATTCTCAATTTTGAAACATTGTACCAAATGAATGTGTTAAAATTTTACCAATATAAACTGACGAAAATGCCACATTCGCAATTTTGAGACATCATACCAAAAAAATCATTGATTATCACAAAAATCAAAGTATCGAATATGATTTTTTGGAAAGAAAAAAACAGTTAACAGTTTAATATTTTTATAAATCTAACAAGGATTAAACATTAAATATAAAAAATTTAAAAATTTCGATAGTTGTCAATGGTAGGGACGATATTTATGTTTCTTGGACCCTAAGAAGGCATTTGACCGGGTAAAATTAAAGGACGTTATCCACTTATTGTACGCAAGAGAGAATCCTTTAGGAATAATCAAAACGATCGAAATTAACTACCAAAACACCACAATACAAGTAACAGTAGAAAAAGAACTAACTGACCCTATTGAAGCTGGCAATAAGATAAGACAAAGAGATTGCCTGAGTACTCTCTTCCTCAATCTAATCATGGATGAAATAATAAAAAAAGTCTTCTTCTTCTTCTACTTTTTGTAGATCTTTCGATCTGTTTAATTCTGAAGCTGCCTCTGGTTAATTTCTTGGGAGGTAGATTGCCAACTATCCTCCATCTTTTAGGTGGTCTTCCGGGGGGTCTTGAACCAGGCGGATTGTTTTCTAGGGCAATTTTTGGGAGTCTATTCTCATCCATTCGTCTTACATGGTTGTACCACATCCTCTTGCGCTGTCTTCCCCATCTTACAACATCTTGAATTTTGCACTGCTCTCTAATGTTTGTATTTCTCACTCTGTCCCTTCTTGTTTTCCCCATTATTGTTCTTAGGGTTTTCATTTCGGCAACCCTTAGCATCTGTTTCGTTTTGTTGGTATCTTCGCGCACTTCTATGCCATATGTCATGATCGGTCGTATGCAAGTCTTATAGATTCTAATTTTACTATCTGTGCGCATATACGGATTAGACCAGACTATCTCCCGCAGACATCCTGACAGTGCAGATGCTTTGTTGATCTGACTCCTCAGGTCCTTTACTGGGTCATGGGTGCTTGATATATCTATGCCCAGATATCTGAATTGCATCACCTGTTCTATGGGGTTGTCCTCAACCACTAACTTACATCTGAGCGGATCTTTTGCTATTGTCATACATTTAGTTTTGTTGGTAGAGATGTTCATATTTAATAGTCGGCTTGTTTGAAAGAACTGAAAGAGCTGCCTTTGGAGATCATCTTCTGATTCGGCAATAATTGCTGCATCGTCTGCGTAGCACACCATACCAATTCTTTTGTTGCCCATTCTATATCCGAGATTAAGAGATGTTACTTTGTTGATAATTTTGTCCATGAGAAGATTAAACAAGAAGGGGCTTAAACTGTCGCCTTGTCTAATTCCTCCCGGTGTTGGAATATTTTCAGTGAATTCGTCTCCTACTCTAACTTTGGTTACGTTGTTGTTATTTAGGTTATGGAGTATCTTTGTTATACTGGTCGGTGTTTCATTTTCTATTAATATATTTAGAATGTCTCCCAGGCGAACTCTGTCAAATGCCTTCGTCAAATCAATGAAGCAAATATACGCTGGCATGCCGAACTCTATAGCTTTTTCTTTTATTTGTTTTATTACAAATACTGCGTCTATTATAGACCGCCCTTTTGTAAAACCTTGTTGTTCTTCAGCATTAGTGATTTGCTTTTCCAATTTGTCCTTGAGAATACCCGTGAAAAGTTTCATTGTTGTATTTAAGAGGGTTATTCCTCTATAGTTTTGTGGGCAGGTTTTTTGTCCTTTTTTAAATATGGGGATTGTGATACTATTATGCCATTCCTCTGGTGTTTCTGTTTTGTTTAATATTTTGTTAAATAGTTGTGCCAGTTTACTTGCAAGTTCCGGGCCTCCATATTTTAAAAGTTCATTGGGTATACCATCCGTTCCCGGTGATTTTCTGTTTTTTATCTTTTTGATCTTTGCTTCTACTTCTTCGTCATTGATTGTAGCACTCACATCTGTTTCGCCTTCGTTTATATTCAGCGTTTCTTCAGCATCATATAGTTCTTTAAAATGTTGTTGCCATGTTTCTATAGGTACTCCTTTGGTCTGCACGAACTCGTTAACTGGTTTTTTCCTGTTGCGGAGCATTTTCCATACTTTCTTTTGGGCACCATATAGGTCGTAGTCCATGTCGCAAGTGAATTTGGCCCAATGTTCTCTTTTGATTGATTTTATTCTGGCGTTTACTTCGTTTCTTATTTGGACATATTCTGCATGAGCTTCTTCCGATTGCGTGCTTTTATATGTCAGGTAGCATTTGCGTTTTAATTCAGAGAGTTCTTTTACCTCTTGGCAAAACCACGGTTTGGTGTGGTTTGTCGCTCTCGTGTTAATTTTCCGCTTACCAATCGCTTCTTCTGCTGCTTCGTTGATGCATTTCTTAATTTTTTGCCAAGTATCTTCTACTCCCCATTCGGGTTTTAAGTCGATCTCTTTTAGTTTGATGGTAATCCTGTTCTCATAGAACAGTTTTGTACTCTCTGTTGCTAGCGACTCTATATTATGTTTTTCGATGAACATTGGGGGTTTTCTGTTTCGTTGCGGACGTTCTAGTAGCATCTTGCATAAAACAAGGTTATGATCAGTCCCCAGGTTAGCAGATGTTAGTGCTCTGACATCAAGTACTTGTGACGGAGTTATCGTTCGATTTGTGATTATAAAATCTATCATTGATCGCTGGCCTCGATTATTGTTAAAAGTGTATTTATGTTGGTCTTTATGAGGAAAGTATGTATTGTTGATTCTCATTTCATTTCTAGCGCAAAAGTCTATTAGTGCTTCGCCGTTTTCATTAATTATTTCTTCGTTGTACTTTTGTTTTATACCTGGTATGACAACGTTTCCGATCCGTGCATTAAGATCCCCGAGTACGATAATTTTGTCTTTCGTATTTATGTTATCTACGACGTAATACCTACGTAATACCGACGTAATAATATCTACGACGAATAAAAAAAGTAAGAACTAAAAAAGAATTATATTATAAAAATTATCATAAACTATTACAAAAATATTATACTATTATAAAACTATAGAACTATTATAAAAATGGGATACCAAAAAACAACTTATAATAATCTGTTGTGCAGACGACGGAATACTACTCTCTCGAAGTGAAGATGATTTACAACGTATGCTGCACCAATTCAGTATAACCGCCAGACAATTTAAGATGTTATTTTCCCCAAAACAGACAAAATACATGGTTATCACAGCAAATTTATTAAGATGAAATTTGGAGCTGGAAGGTGAGATAATAGAATAAGTGATGGAGTTTATATATCTAGAAATCACATTATCTAATTACGGAAAGCTCGAAACAGAAGTGGAAGATCAAGTGAATAGAGCAAACAGAGCCGCAGGTTGCCTGAATGAAACAATATGCAGAAATAAAAATATTGGGAGAGAAATGAAATACAGAATTTACAAAACAGTCATCATACCAATAATGACATACGTGGCAAAAATA